ATGTCCCTATGGCAGGGATCTCCAACCTTTTTATGGTTAAGATCACTTTTTGGAACTAAAGGTCACCCAGATTCAGCTGATTTGGGGGACAGTGATTTTATTCGAATCACTGTCCTGAATTGATTTGGCCAAATCAGATTGAGCCGGCTGCTACCTCGAATCACAGGCCGCACCCTCCACCCGTTCTCCCAGCACTTGCTCCTGGCTCTTTGGGGTGGGGGAAAAAGAAAAAAAAAAAAAAAAAAAAGCACCTGCACTCATCAGCTCCTGCCCAGCAGGGTGCGATCCCCACAAGACCTCAGAAGCCGAGGCCGCTGCAGCCGGTGAATCCGGGAAGAGCAGGGAGCTGGGCCAGGTTGGGCAGCCATGGGTGGGGGCTGGGAGAGCAGGTGGGAGTTGGGAGGGCTCATGGCAGAGCCCCCATGTGGCATGGGGCAGTGAGGATCTCCTCCCCCTCCACCCCCCCGACCTGGCAGCAGCTGGTGACGCTGGGCTTTTTTTTTTGTTTTGTTTTTTTAAACAATCAGAGCTGGGGTGGGTGGAGGTCAAGGCGGCGTAGGAGAGCAGGCAGGGGATGGGGCCAGGCAGGGGTCCCCCCATGGTCCCCTCCCCTGCTCCCTACTTACCAGCACAGAGTGCAGTTCAGTTCCCTGCTGCAGCCCAAGGGGACTGCACAGATCACTGGAGCTCTCTGAATGTTTTTGGAGAGCTTCAAATCGATTTGGGCCTTTTAATTGGTCCCCCAATTCAATTTGGAGATTCAGCCACCAAATCACGCCATATCTCATCCAAAGCACCTGAAGCTCCGCACAGCCCTAATAATTATGTTTAGGAGTAAAGAAACTGATCTCCAAGGCCCCTGACAAACATTACATGATGCACGATAAAATAGTTAATCTCATCTTCATTAGTGACCTGGCCACACAAACAATCAATGAATGGCATGATAAAAACCGAGAATAAGTTATTACACTAAATACTTAACTTTACAGGTGGATCCCATAATTCCTTTAATTGAATGTGTGGCCAGTGCCCAGCTTCTGAAGCATACAAGAACCTTTCAAGATGTCCCTGTGTTCCAGACATCTTGAACACGGGGGTGGGGGGTGGTGGGCATACCACATGCTCCCCAAGCTGGGAGCCCACAGCATACTCCCCTGCTAGAAGCTCTGATCAGCTGATAGGGCTCCCAGCCAGGAGAGTACAGGGAGAGAAATTTGTTGGTGCAGGGGGAGCCTAGAATTGGGCTCCCTGTACCAACAATGTGGAGCAATGAGATTTGATGCAGGATCCCACAATCGTGCCTCCTGTCATGCATGTGTGGCATGGCAGGAGGCACAATTGTTGGGATTCCACATCAGATCCCATCACACCTTTACTCTGTCAGTCAAGGGCATAAGCAGCCAAATTAAAGGTTCTAAGGAAATTCTTCATTCTGGGATTTCACCAACTCTTGCTTGCTTTCTCTTTAAACTGTACACTGGTAGTTCTCAGAAATTTCTGGTAAACTGTCAAGGGCTTGAAACAAGAATTGGATGCATCTTAGAGGCAGACAAGGTTCTCTGGGTAAATCTAATATCTTTTATTAGATCAACTCAAACAGTTGGAAAAACATTTTTTTTAGCAAGCTTTCGGGCACAGACACCCTTCATCAGGCTAAGGAAGGGTCTGCACATGGTCTGTGCTCTTCCTGGATGGAGTGCTAAAGCAGCCAAAGGCCAGTACCTACGCAAGAAAGCTAGTCAGTTAAGATACAAGTTGAGGTGGTCAGTAGGTGAGACAAGCTGGGGGTGGGGCAGGCGGGGGGAATGAATGTAGCCGCAGTAAAAGGATGAGATAGGAAAGTCGGAGGAAGGGAATGAGAATAGTTGGTAAAAGGTAGAGGGTTTACCTGGAGAATCAGATGTTAGGCAGATTATAATGCGTCATAAATCCAGTGTCTATATTTAGTCCAGACACAAAAAACCACCTCAACTTGCATCTTAACTGATTGGCTTTCCTGCATAGGTTCTGGCCTCTGGCTGTTTTACCAAGAGCACAGACCATCTGCAGATGCTTTCTCAGCCTGATGAAGGGTGTGTGTGTCAGAAAGCTCGCTAAGACGAATTTTTCCAACTATTTGAGTTGGTCTAATAAAAGATAACAGATTTACCCAAAGAACCTTGTCTGCCTATGTCCTGAGACCAACACAGCTACAACCTACACCTCTTAAGAGGCAGCAATGGATGAATGGCCAAGTATATCAAGCTGAAGGTAGAAGACAGTATGTACATAAAGTGCCAGTGATGAAACATAATGGAGAAGCACAAGGAGAACAAGAAAGGAAGACTGAACCCACGTGAGATTAACAGAATTAAAATTACAACGAAGCGGGGGGAGAAGAGAGAAATAGGGGCACAGTTGGGTTTAAATAGTTGCGTTAGGATAAGGACAAAATGCACTGAATTCTTCTTTATAGGGACCAAGGATAAGAATGTAAAAGGAGAAACAGTGGGAGAGAGAAAGAGTATAAGGAAAGAGAAAGGCTTCAAGGAGTGGGAATATGGAAAACAGGATACGGAGAGAACTAGTGACAGGAAAAGCAGCAGGAACACAGCAAGTAAACCTAGCACAGAAAACAGAGAGACAAGAATCAAGTAATGGGGCAAATAGACATCATGATCACATACAGACAGAAAAAGATATGAAAACACTGGGGTCAGAAAACATGGGTAAGACATTTACCATAACAATTAATACTGCAATTTGCAGGTGGCTGGGTGACTGAAGCCCATTCTGTAATGGCAACAACTCATCACAATCCAGTGTACCACTTAAAGCAGTGGTCACCAAACCGGGAATCCCAATAGACAGATTCTGGAGCCTCTTTGGGTTGATCCTCGGCTAGGGGCACAGCTGGGTGGCTGCATATGCATACACCTGCTGCCCCCAGCCCCAGCAGGTCAATTTGTGGGGAAGGGAAGGGGCAGGGGCCAGATTGTGGCCCCTATGGTAAGCAACTGTCAGGCCAGGTCAGGAGCAGGGGATTGTAAGTAGGGACCCAGCCTGGCCAGGTAGCAGGAGGATTGGAGCCCAGGGGGCTCCCTCCCCATTTCTGGGAGCAGAGGCAGCAGCTGCTGTGCCTCGAGTCCCACTGCAAGCTGGCCACATGTGGGCATGGCTCAGCTCAGCAGTGGAGACTCACATGGGGGCAGCCCCAGCCCGGCTGGGTCTGGGAAGATCTGGTCATCCAGGGGCAGGTAGGGGTGCTCCTGCTCCTGGGCATAGCCATGCCCCCTATCTGTACCCCCCCACCTGTGCTTGGTGAGCAGCAGGCAGTCCACAGCAGCAACTGCCTTGTCCTGAGCACAGGTGTGGGGGCACAGGCCCCTAGTGGGCTGTGCCCAGCAGTGAGCCCCTCCCCCACCTTGATGACCAGATCTTTCCAGACCTGGACCACACGTCTGTGCCACCGCTGTGTTGAGCCATGCCCAGCCAGCAGCCAGAGGAACATGGTGTCCAGCCACGCCCCAGCTAGGTTGGGAAGTCTCTGTTTCAGGGGTGCGTGTAGGAGGGGGACGGGGTGGTCATTGCATCTCCTGCCGCTAAGCACAGCCCAGCAGAGGCCCTAGGGGCCTGTGTCCCCCCTCCCCCCACCTACTCTCTGGGCACAGCGGGCAGCCCGCAGCAGTCGCCATCTCCTCCTGGAGTACAGGTGTGTGTGTGTGGGGGGGGGCAGGCACACAGGCCTCCAGAGCACAGGTTGGGGGGGCACAGGCCCCTGGGGCCTTTGCCAGGCTGTGACCAGTGGTGGGAAAGCCCCCTGCCCCACACACACACCCCCCCATGGACCACAGAGGGTCCCAGACCCAGAAGTGTGATCCAGGCCTGGCCAGGGCCAGGCACCACATTTGTCTGGCTGCTGGGTGGGTACGGCTCAGCACAGAAGTGGGATCGGGACCCAGCCAGGTCTAGAACACTCCGCAGTCCAGGGGTGCATGAGGCAGGGTAGATCCTGGGGTACCCTTTACTTCCAAAAAGTTATCTTTACCCTTAAAAGGTTGGAGACCACTGACTTAAAGGATGGCTCCAAAAGAAGGCAATACATTCCAAGTTCCTTTGTTTTAAGTTGGCAGAGAAGGGGCCTGTTCAGTGCTTCCCTGCAGCTTAGCTTGCCTGAAGCAACACCACAGCTGCCTATGCTAATGCTCTTGAAAGCCAACACTAACACAAAATGTGCTAAGTAACCAACAGAACTGAAGACAATGAACAGCAGGAGACATTAACCCAGAGCACGTGCACCTTTTTCTGAAAATTAGGTGCTGCAAATTGAGGTGCATGCCTTAAGCAAAGATCCATGGCCAGCAATTAGGAGATTAGTGGGGCAGCTGGCTCACTGCTCTGTTCTACTGCAACTGCTGGTGACCACTACAGCAGGGATGTGCAAGAGGGTGGCTGTTCCGTTAACCCTGCAAGCATGTGCAATTGCAAGAAGAACAACAAATTCATATCCTTTCAGTCAGACAATTTTATTTCTTCGTTCCACCTTCAAAAAAGGTGTGCATCTTATGCAAGAAACAGGCCATTTCTTAGAGGACTATTCAAACTGAATCCTAAATTAGGGCCTGTAATAGCATGATTTTCTGTACTGTTTCATGCAGAAGTATTTAATGCACAAATATAAAAATGATCAGGTTTCAGTTTATTTCTGTTCTCTTGGTCAAGGAGAAAAAATAAACATGACCAGAACTACTGCAATTTTTATGAAACAATAACAACTCCGATATGGAGTAAAACCCGAAGTCCAAGCTCGGCTCTTATGGAACAGGCGACTTCAAAAAGCAGCACTGTGGCAAAAAGAGGATGCAAACTCAGCACTGGTTGTCTTATTTCCACAATATCTGAACCTCAACTGTGAAACAATATCTATAAGTAACATGAATATGTCACTTCAGCCCTTTACAATACAGATGTTTTTTCAAATGGGCTAGTACATATATGTACATGTAGAATTGTATTCCTATGTAGTTTAAATAATTTCAACATTGAAACAATTCCAGCAGGTGCTGTTGTTATATTGAAATAGTAATCAGCAGTTTTATGACCACAGTCTTTCATTAGAAAAATCAAATTTAGTCACTAGCAGGTTCAGAGTTTTGTTTTCTAGCGCCTTCTTTTGCCAGTCTATCAGCTGCTTCATTCCCTGCAAAGCCAGCATGACCAGGAATATGCATCTGTTGAAATAAAGCATGAGAATGTTACTAAACCCCCAACAAAAGCCACGCAAGCAAAAGCTATACAGCTGGTCTGATAAGCAATCAGTGCTCCTGGAACAGCACAGGATTTACACACCTTTTATTCACAAGCATTTTACTCAAGGTCACCAAATTAAGTTTGCCAAATGCAGCAGATTTTCAGGGTTAGCTCTTACCTGAATTCTGGGCTCATAAAACACTTAACTGTCCCATTTGCAAACTAGTGCAGGACACTTCTTAGTTGACCTGGTTCCTTTAAATGTGAACCACTTCACCCATCTTATTTTCTAGTACACGGCATCCAGACAGTGTAGAAGGGAGTCTTTATCAAGTCAGGAGTCCCACCCTGGAGAGTCTAGATCAGTGGTCTCTCTAACTTTTGTGGGTAGGAGATCACTTTTTTTTTTTTCTTTTTAAACTATTAAAAAAACAACCCAAGATCTACCATGTGCCACTCCCCGCCCCAGGCAGTCTGTGGGGAGGCAGGCAGATTGAGGTAGAGGGGAAAAAAAAAAAAAAAAAAATTATATATTTGGGGACATGTCCCCAGCAGGCAAGTCTGTGGGGGAAGGGGTTCGGGGAGGGGAGGCAGATCGAGGTCCCAGTGGTGAGGGAGGGAGCAGGGCACAGGCGAGCGGGGCCCTAGCCAAGTCAGATGGTGGAACAAGTAGAGATCCAGGGGGCACATGCCCTCCAGGCTTCTGCTTGCCCCCACTTCCCCCAGCCCCTGCCTGTGCTCTGCTCCCTCCCTCCCTGCTGGGGCCTCAATCTGTGTGCCCTGCACTGTGGAGGGGGAAGAGGGGAAGGGAAAGACTGCCAAGGAGGCACCAGGCTCTTCCCAGCAGGGGTGTTGGGCTGTGCTGGGCTCAGGTTGGGTGGCAGCAGCGACATTGGGAGTGGGGTTATGGCGGGAACAGGGCAACATGGCCCAACCCCCCCACTAGGAACAGCCTAGCATAGCCTCCCAGACCCAGCCCACCCTCCCTCCCACACAGATCCTGGCCACATGGCCCCTGTACCCTTGGAGGGAGGGGAGGAAGGAAAGGCTGCACAAGGCTCTTCCTGGTGGGGATGCATTATGCTTGGGGTGTGCAGCACCGTACAGTACTGGGAGGGCGGCTACAGCAAATTTTTGGGTGCTGCAGTTGCCCCCCATAGCCTCATTCCCAGGGCCACCTCCCATCCCAAGTGCAGCACAGCTCAATGCCCCGGCTGGGAAGAGTCCAGCACCACCTGGGCCCCAGCCCACCCCACCCTGTGCTCAGCCATGCCCAGCATCAGATCAACTGATTCATGACCACTTGTCTAGATGCACTGCCTCCAAATGGACATACTGTGGCCTTTGGAGATTTGAGTTGGATGCATCCTGGCAGATTGTCCCAGAAGGCAACATATTTACTATTTAGTTCAATGTTTGTTGCCAAATTCAAAAGCTTTTATTTAATATTTTTTTTACTACTTCTACTGTGCGCAACTTAGAAAAAAATCACTGGCTTGTCACCGACTGAATTTGTATTTAGTTGCCTACTCCAACTGCATGCTGTGGCTTCAATTAAAGCTTACATTTATTCAATTTTAAGAAAGCCTCAAACTTTTCTATTTAAATAGAGAAACCAGAATACAAAAGTTTTTTTCAAAGGGAACCTCCTCCATGAAAGTCTCCCTCTACACCCACTGAACTTTTTCTGCTAATTAGTGATGCGTTTACCTGGATTCAAGATTTAATAACCATAAAAGCAATGGTGCAGAGCTTTAGTTCTAGATTCTCTCTGGAGGAGACATGTCTGTTATTGGCAAATTTAGAACAATTAAAAATCTCACCTACGGAGAAAGTGAGATTTTTGGTAGAACTAGACCTAGCACCACTAATTAGAGGTAACAGAACACCAATTTAAATGGGAATATCAATAAAGCTCCTCAACAAGTTGTCTTCAACCTTGAGGTGAGAGAGAACACTTCTTTAAAATAATCATTTATGCTGTTTAAAGACAAGAATATTCATGTTTTCCAAGAAAATTGAAAACCTCATCCAAACTCTCTAATTCTAGGTTTCATACATTTATATCCTACCAAGTTAGGATACTTCAGGTTTTTTTTTCTCCCCTGCATCAGCAAAACTTTCACAGTCTAATTACCATGACCTGTTAATATACACTGACTTAGAAACCAGGATTTTTTGAAGTCCAAGTTCATTCTCAGTAATAAGTGATGATGATTCTTATCATAACATTTGGGATTCCAGCCTTATGACCATCCCCTATGAAATCAGTTCAGTATTTTAGCTTCAACTGAATCTTTGTCTTCCTTTCCCTGGAAATACCACCAAGATTTCTATAAAGGTACAAACTTGTAAAAGGCAATTAAAAAAACCAAAAAAACAAAACAAAAAAAACCAAACAAACAAACACAAACTGGTGGTCAAAAAGCATGCTTTAGCATTTGACAGATTACAGTATTTTTTAACTTGGTAACAAAATATCACTTATTATTTTGGAAGGAACAGGCACTGTGGATATATAGCAATTAGCTTTTACTAATTATTTTCACAAATTGGAGCACAGCGAGAAAATACTTTAATGGTGACAGAATACACAGAACTAATTTGCAGTTACTCACCCACTTTATGTCCATGTCTTCTGTAAGCTTGTCAAGTCTTTCAAAGTCCTCTTTATTTATTACACTTTTCCCTGTACTTGTTCTCCAGCCATTATTTTTCCAGTTGCCAACCCAACTTGTCACACCTATGGAAAAAAAAATTACATCTCATGATAGGATTGAAACGATAGCACTCTTATTTTAAGCAATAACCTAGATGGTTTTAAAAATATTTAGCCAGCGTGAACCAAGGTAATGTGCATTACTACACGGAAAAAGAAAATCTGTGCCAATGGTTACTAGAATCACTATTCTGTACCATGCTTAGCATTTATATTAAATCCACTGGCCTTTCTGCTGTCTCCTCCAGACTGACCCTACTTTCAACTTCTTTTTTGCCAAAGGATCAAGCTCCAGATTCCTGCAAATCTGTGTTGTGCAAAAGCTTCAGGCAAAGTGCTTGATGATAATCTGAAATAGAACCTCGAAAGGCTGGAGAATCCGATCCTCTTTTTCCAGAATTGTATCACAGTATGTCAAGTATTCCTACACCTGGATATATGGAAAAGTTTCTCTTGACTAGTACTGATGCACACTTTTCTGCAGTTTCAGTGGGTGAGTTGCAATGTACTTGAGTGCTAGCTTACCAAGTGAAATGTAGTAAGCTGAAATGGAGGTATTTTGTTTGCAGATGTATATGGTGTAGCTCTAACTTCATCTTTACTAACTTTTATTTGAGGGAGAGAAAAAGGGCTAGCACACAGGGGATTGTTTTCACGTTATCATAGAGAATGTCATATAGTAGGAGAATACATATCCAGGGCAGCTAGAAGGGTTACAAAAACCTAGATGTTGCAGAGAAGGCAACACAGTTTTAAATGAGACAGACAAAAAAGTATCCCACCCTTGGTCAAGACCTTCTACATTTAAAGAGACACTGGCCAGATCAGTTCATGTTAGCAAAACAGGACAAATTTATTCCTGGCACTGAACAAATTACTCAGAATATACTCCAGGAAGCTGGACCAACACTGTAATACTCAGATATTATTAGGAGCCTCTCTTCATTACACTTTCTATGAATTCAGAGGAGCCATTCAAAAGGACGATTTTTTCAAGGTGTGGAGCCACTGCAATTTACCCAGGCAGTCCATATGTGAAAACATTAACAATTTACTGCTAAATAAACTAACAGGAACATAAAGTATTAACTAGTGAAGTCACAATGTTTGCTTTCATAACAACTAGTGCCACACTTACTATACAACTAGTACTTTTGTCACCAAAAACACAACTTCTTCTGCCAGGCTACCTTCAAATTGGGCACATTTGCTTTTGAGAGGGGGGGGGGAAAAAAAAAAAAAAGCAAAGCTAAACAAACTGCCAAATGAACTTTCAAATTCTGCAACAAGCAATTCTACTTCTTGGCAGCAGTCTTGCAATCTAGATTCTGTTTGCCAGGAAGCAGTGTGGTGGCTCAGAACAGAGAACTAACCACCTACTTCCTTCTTCAGACAGCATTCAAGCCCTGTAGAAGCTGCAAAGATGGTTTTGGTTCTATAACCAGTACCAGCTCCTCAGCCACCACTTCAGAGATGATCATTGGAGGGGATACTGAAGGGAAAGTAGTCAAAAGACTCTCTCTCTCTCTCTCTCTCTCTCCTTTGCTGCGCCCCATACCACTTTGTGTAATCTCTCCAGCGTTTCTGCTGTTCTTCATTTTATGGTCCAAGCTCTTCATTAGATATGCCTACACTTTCAGGATATGATGTTGGGGAGCAGGAGCGAGGGGAGCAGGGTGCACGTGTGCCACCCGCACGTGTACCTGCTTACCTCGGCGGAGGCGGCAGCAGCTGAAGCAGCAGCGGAGGAAGCCGGCGGCGGGGGCAGGCACAGGCGAATTCCCCC